ACTTTCTTTCATACATTTTAACATAAAATGGTAACTGTATAAGTTAGTAGAGTTAGAAAACCATAAAATAGTATTTCCATTATAATTTAAAAATGACGGCTCTGTAAGGGAAAAAGTTACAAAACTTCTGCTTTCCGCATATTAACTCTAGTATCAAAGAGCGTCCTATGTACTGCGGCGGTGTCAAGGGCCGGGCAGTGTTATGAAAGGGTCTTGAACCTTGAAAAGTGTCCTGACCAACACGAAGCACAGCTATTGTTCAGCAGGCGCCTTGCTGCCTCTTTTAGAAGTCTGGGCAAGTATTTGACAGGATTAGACTAACAAATATTCATCCACAGTGAAAGCTGGACACTTCAGGCTGTAAGAGAAGTTCTGGTCTTTCTTCCCGAGTTGACAAATTATTTAGCTTCACGGCCTCAGCTCCTTTATCTGAAAAGTGAGGACAAAATAGTGCTTCCTTCCTTTGCAGTGCTTGCCTTAGTTACTTTCCTATCTCTGGGACATAATACCCAACACCCAGCCGGGAAGGACGGAGAGCTTTGTCTTGGCTCACGATTTTGGGCCACGGTCGCTGGCTCCAAGGCAGAAGCAAGATGCGGGAGGAAAAGGCGCTGCACAACGCACTCACCTCCCCAGGCCCCACCTCAGAATACACGGCGCTTCGGAGGACATGTGCATCTAAACCACAGCGTGTTAAGTGAGGATTCCGTGGGCAGCTCATGCAAATCACTAAGAACAGCGCCTCCCAAGCAAAGCAGCGCTAAAAAGGGCTGGGAATTACTATCCAACCTACAAAACTATCTAGGGAGCAGGCGCGCCTCCAAATTCTTCTGCTGAGGCCTAGGTTAAAGATACACCTCCTGTAAACTTGATTTTACCAGTAAAGCCAGCTCCCTGGGTTTAATATTTTGTTCCTCTTCGTAACGTTTATTAAACCCTCCTTCTGGGTTCGGCCCTGTGTCAGGGCATTAGCGGGTCTTAATCCAGTACTTTGTTTTGCATTGGAGAAAAAAGTCCCCAGTGTCATTCAATCCCAAGTAGGCGCCAGGTGCGCTGAGGTTTAGAAAAGTTATTGTCAAAGACCGAACCAGACCGGCCTCCCGGGCTCAGAGCCTCGGGGAGGGAGCGGGCGGGCGCCCTGCCTCGGCCTGTTGCTCGTGGTTAGAGCCCCGGGCGTCACTCCCGGCTGAGCGGGACGCAGAGTCGCCCGGTTAGAGCCCCGGCATCCCCCCCCACCCCCGCTTGGCGACTGAGCAGGACGCAGGGTCGCCCGGTTAGAGCCCCGGCGTCTTCCCCCCGCCCCCCACCCGGCGCTGAAAAGGACGCAGGGTCGCCCGGTTAGAGCCCCGGGACGTCTCTCTCGGCTGAGCAGGACGCAGGGTCGCCCGGTTAGAGCCCCG